TCCCTCCTGAACAATAAAGAGTTGAATGGTCACTGTGCGCTGTGAGATCCTTCCAGCCCCATCGCTTTGTCAGTCGCTGTTTTCTGCCTGCTGCCCATGCCAACAAAAGCTCCCAGCCAGGGTGAGGAGCAGGAATATTTCACGTCACAGTTTATAAATCACAAAACTTGTTCGTTTCGGTTGTGGTCTGAATGACTTTGGCTTGTTTGAGAGTACTTGGAAGAGTGCAGAGTCTTGGCTGGAGGCAACGGGGGTGGTGAATCACACTGAAAAAACCTCTGCCTGCTGAATGCAGAGCCCAAGTTATCTCTGTGTGCAGTTCCTGCTTTGTCTGACTAAACCCCCATCTATTCCAGCCCTGTGTTCTGTTTCGAGCCTTCTCCTTGCAGAGCCGAGGGACTGTGTGAGCAGTTCATCTGGCATTTCATCATAGCATCCCAGCCTGGTTTGGGTTGAAGGGACCTTAAGGCTCACCCAGTTCTCCCCCCTGCCATGGGCAGGGACCCCTTCCACTGGAGCAGCTTGCTCCAAGCCCTGTGTCCAACCTGGCCTTGAACACTGCCAGGGATGGGGCAGCCACAGCTTCTCTGGGCACCCTGTGCCAGCGCCTCAGCACCCTCACAGGGAAGAGCTTCTGCCTAAGAGCTCAGCTCAGTCTCCCCTCTGGCAGGTTCAGGCCATTCCCCTTGGCCTGTCCCTATGTTCCTCATCCAAAGCCCCTCTCCAGAATCCCTCATCCTCCCAGAGGAAGGAGTAAGAGATGTGCCAGCAAACCTGGGGAGCTTGAGCTCTAGAACTGGATCCTCTCCTGGCTGAAGCATCTCCTCTGGCAGCGTTTGCTGCTTGTGTCCTCTCTGAGAGGCTCTGACAGTTTCTGAGGAACATGAACATGGATTTTTGGAGGTTGTGTCACAATTTAACGTGGTGTTGATGAAAAAGGATGGAGGGGGTGAGAATTGTTTCTGTGTTTTACTCTGCTTCATCTCTTTTTTCTTTAGGCAGCAACTTTGTGCTTTACATCTTCATTAAAGCAGCAAAAGCGCCTTTCCTTGTGGCAAGCTGATGCCCCAACCCTCTCCTCCTCAGCAGCGATGTTTGCTTACCCATGGCTCACCTTTGTAGTCTCAGATCTTACCAAGATCCCAGCTCCTTATCATTGTGCAGGTCAAACTTGCTGCACCAAAGGCAAGTTTTCCAAACAAGCAGTACCAAGAAGGCTTTTGCTGCTGTGCTGGTGTTGGGATGTGCTTGGGGCAGCCAGGTTCTGCATGCAGGAACGTGGAGCACCAAGGTCTGTCCCAGACTAGGTTTTAAATCACTGTTGGTCTGAAAAGTATCTGTTTTTTCTCTTCCTCATTTCCCTTCTTGCCCCTCTCCCATGTTCTCTTGGCGTGAGCAATTTGCATGTCATTATTTCAGCTGGGGGGCTGTGATACCAGGTTGATTATTTGGCGGTGCTGGACAATTTTCTCTGTTAGGCAACTGTAATGCATTTCCATGTTCTCTTATAATGAGCTTTATTTACCAAATTGGCAATTCCTCTGTTGAGAAATAACTGATTACAGCATTCAGGGAGTTGCTGTCATCTCAAGATACGCAGGTGTCTGTGGAACATAAACAGATGTGATCATTCAGACAGTGAACTCCATTGACAGAGAGGAGGGGGAGGAGAAATCAGCCCTAAAATCATCACTGTAACATCTCCAGCTCATGCTTCTCAGGTGCTTTGCGGCTGTCCTGCAGCTGAACAAGGGCAAAGTGGCTCTCTGAGGCCATGCAGTACCTCCAGATGAGGGGCTGAGTGGTTATCAGCTGAAAATACACCTCTTGCATGTCAGCACGCTGCAGTCTGGCTTGTCTAGCTCAGCCCCTGAGGATGAGTTCATCCTGTGCCTCAAAGTGGGACACTCCTTCATTCTGCCGTGTTGGGTTTGATGTTCATCACTCTGTGATGAAAGTCTTGGTGATCAGGTCCATGGGGATCGTGGTCTCAGCTGCCTTCCAGGCAGTGCTTTTCCTTTGGTGTTTCTTTGTGCCCAGGAGCATTCTTGCTGCTCTTGCCCTCATCATCAGCTCAGGGAGCGGAGCCAAGGGGTGGATGCGATGAGCAGAGATGGCAGTGGGAAACTGCTGAAGATGAAGTTGAGTTTGCAGGGTCTTAGCTGCTGCCTGAGTAAATAACATAGAGGTAACGCAGCTCCTCGAGTCAGTGTTCTCCCTTTGCTCCCTTGCAAAGCAGACAGCAGCCCTGCATCCCCTCGTACGCTCCCGCTCCTTATGTTTCTCCTTGACTCTTTGTTGGGTGTTTAGAGCATGAATTTGTTTTTCAAGCAAGATTGTGACAGCAGGTGTCAGTTACGCTCTGAAGTGGCAGAGATTGCTCTTCCTGGAGCCTGGTGTCCAGCGCTGAATAGATGTCCTCATCACACAGCTACTGGCACAGCTGGTATTAATGGGCAACTGGGACAGCGGGATAAACAAGGTCTGCATCTATTGTAGGAACTGAATTGGAGGCAAGTTTGAGGTAGGGCAGGGGCAGCCACGCTGCTCCCTGGGCTACATGTGCTGGATAAAAAGGAGCCTTTTTGTGTCTGGAAATACCCATGACCAGTCTCACTCAGACCAACCCTACCTAATGGATGCTCCATCCAGATGCACATTGCATGTCCATTTTGCCTGCTCATTTATTGCAGCTCTGTGTGCAAATAGGGTCAAGGTGTGTACAAATGCATCTGCAACGTGCACAACTGTAGTTACTTTGGTATCCACTTCATGTGAAAGCACAGGCATGCAGAGGAGCTGCTTTATTGATGTGAATTGTTCTAATCCTGCCCAGATGAGGGAAGGAGCAGCCTTGTTTTATTCATGCACCATTTCTTAGTGTTGCAGGAAGGGAGAAGAACAAAACCAACAAAGCCAGAGGAGATACAGCAAATAACAGAACCGATAGATGTTTTCCAGCAGGCTTCAACAGCTTTTGAAATGAAACATTCAACGAGCACTTTGAGATTCCAGTGTGCGAGAGCGTCCCCGGCTCCGTAAGCACCAAATTTGTGATCTTGCATAAAAACACAACCCATTGCCTCCTGTTGTTAATATTTCACACTTGACTTTGCAAGATGCTTTATCTAATATCTTCTCTGCATTCAGGCTCCTACCGGCTCTGCTTTGGCCATAACGGGAGAGGCTGGAGGAGGAAGGCAATTGCCGAGCGCTCTGTAATCTATGTAGGAGGGGTTTGTGTAGCTGTAGGGGGAGAAGAGTAAGTCTCATTTCCCATTTTATAGTCTGCTGAATCCTGTGGGCTCCCGCTGTGTGTGCTTTTTCCCAAGCAGAATTTTTCAATTTGGCCTTCAAGTTGTTATTTTTCATTTCCAACCTGGTTAAAAGGGTTTGTTTGGAGCTTGTTGCTCTGTTGTTTATGTCTGATCCCCTAAAACACTCCCATTGACGGCCTTGGGTGCGTCTTGGACCATGTTCGGCTTCCCTTTGCCTGGTGACTTTGTCTTTTGGGGGTTAGAATCATAGAATCGCTTAGGTTGTAAAAGACCTTTAAGGTCATCAGTCCAAGCATTGGAAGCAGTGTAGGTACTGTAGAGTGTAGGACTCTCCACCTCTTGCTCCCGTGATTACACTGCAGAGCACTGATTGTGCAGCCCGGGGCAAACCCAGAGGGAGCGAATGGAGCAGCCGCTGGTCTGCGAAGGGCTCCGTGTCTTGTATTTAATGACCCATGTGCTCTTCTCAGACTTGTTACAGAGCTCAGTGCATGGCAGAGAACTTTCCTTTGTCCTCTGCCCAGTGAGAGCAGCAAACCTCAGTTTCCAAGCTGAAGATGAAACCGCTGCTCCCTCTGGGTATGTAACAAACCCCTCCTGGAGCTGCTTTCCCCATGTGAATGGCCTAAATTAGCCGTTCTTCCTGCTCACACTCAGTGGAGTGGCTTGTGCTTGACCCAGCCATTTCATTAGTGCTGTGTTAATAGTACTTGTGTCTGGTTCCTGCTGCCCTGTTCTCTTTCCTGTGGGAGCTGTTGTGTGGGAGATGTGCTGTCCTGGGAGTGTGGGAGAAGGGGCAGAAGGGACCTGGAGGCTCATATTGAATCCTGCTTTGCATCCTCCTTTATAGAATCCCAGACTGGTTTGGGTTTGAAGGGACCTTAACACTCCTCCAGCTCCAACCCCTGCCACGGGCAGGGACCCCTTCCACTGGAGCAGCTTGCTCCAAGCCCCTGTGTCCAACCTGGCCTTGAACACTGCCAGGGATGGGGCAGCCACAGCTTCTCTGGGCACCCTGTGCCACTACCTCAGCACCCTCATTAAGACCCATTCTGTGATGATTCCCTGATCCCTAGCACTGTGCAAGACCTGATTGATGTTTGGAAGAAGCCTAACACAGAGAGGTCTATTGCCCCTGCTTATGCTCTGTTTGGACAACCCTGTTGACGATCCACTTAGTCCAATAACTGCAACCCAAGGCAGTTACCCTTAGTGCACTGGAAGGTAAGGAGCAGAGGGAGAAGTCCCAACTGAAAGGCTTGCAAAAGAGAAGTAAATAAGGGTTAAAGGGGCTTTGAAGGCTGTTTGATTGCTGCAGCCCATAAAGAGCCATTCCTCTGCCTTTTGTAAGCTGCTAATTTTGGCTGATGTGATTTAAGCTAAATCCTGGCCTGGCATCTCCCCTCCTCATTGCAAGCCATGCAGCTTTGCTGCAGTTACCAGCCACAGGCTCCTGCAGCAGTTGAAAGGCCACTGAAGGAGAAGCAAGGGATGAATTTTTACAAGCCAGCTCCATCACATGGAAAAATTCCAGCCTCTCCCTTGGTTCCGCTGCTCAGAGCGGGATGCGCGGCACTGGCACAGTTCCTGTTTACTTGTTTTATGATGGTTGTAATGAGGAGCCCATTAAATTAATAGCCGTGCTTTAGGTTTAATGTTATGTTTAGCTAATCCTGACTTACAGTGGCACTCCCCACTCGCAGAGGATAAAACCAAACTCACTGTGGCGATGGGCTCCATCACGCAGGGAATGGATACAGGGGGATGGTGGATACGAAGGGATGTTCAGAAGGGAGAAAATAATACCCTTCCCATTGCTTCTGAGGGAGCATCCCTGAGCTGATGCCTGTTAGAGAAATCAGTTCAAGCTCAGCAGTTCAAGGACTAAATAAGACAAAACTGATCTAAAGGTGTAAGAAAACAAAGAGTTGTCAGATAGACCTGATCCGACCCCATGAGCAGCTCAGCACATGGTGCTAAAACAGAGAACCCCCTGTCCTCCCCTAGGAGAAAGCAGCCCTTTGGGGGCTCGGTGGTCAGAGACTGGAAGCTGGTGATGGTCTCCTTGCCTTTACAGGTGTAAGTTACCCATTCACACCCTCTAGACGATGTACCCAGGTCAGTGAGTCAGAATCATAGAATATCTAACCCTAAGCTCCCCTTGGGCAGGTTAAAGCCATTCCCCTTGTCCTATCCCTACAGGCCCTTGTCTGAAGCCCCTCTCCAGCTTTCTCATGGCCTTCTTTAGGCACTGGGAGCTGCTCTGAGGTCTCTACATTCTGATTATCTCATATAGAACCTTATGGTACCCTGAAGTATACATTCCCATGCTGGTGGGTGGTTTAGGAAATGGAATATCCACAGTAATACATTTAATACACTTCATGGCTGCTCTCCCCACCATCCTAATGAAACCCAGCCGTGGGAGCCCGGTGCCAGCTGCCGGTTCCACCCATCCGCTGGTTTTCCTGGCCTTCCCGGTGCCAGGAAAATGGAACTGTGCTGCCTGGAGGGAAGGGGCACGGTTTAGGCTGTGGCCAAACAGATAAAGGGAGAAATGATGCTGCCGAGTCTGAGCTGGTTGTCTTCTTGGAAGCACCCTCAGACAGCAGGCTCTGGTTCATCAAGCAGTGTCCTCCTCGGTGTCCTGTGGTGCTTGTGGCTGATGTAGAGTTCAAGTAGTTCTATTCCAAGGCTCTTTCAGCCCATGAATGGGATTAGATCTGGTTGTAGGAGTGAGGTATACAATGCAGGATTGGAGCTGGATGAGCTTTAAGGTCCTTTCCGATGCAAACCACTCTGATTCTGTGCTGGGCAGATGTTTCAGAGCGTGGCTCTTCTGCTGGGTAAAAACCTTCATTCAACAGTGCCAAGAATGGCACAGAGAAACAAGATGCGTGCCCATCATAACATCATCCTTCTGCCCGTGGACTTGCTCACCTCATGGGGTTATCTGGGAGGTCCAAACCTGGGTTGCACTCTGGGGAAGCAGCCCCATCAATGGGGAGGCTTGAATGAGCTGTACTCAAGGGGCTTGTGCTCCAGATGCTTTCTTCACCCTTGGGGTGATGCTCTGACACTGCCACAGACCCTGCAGCACTGAGCGAGTAGATGACAATGTAATCACTGCGGCTCTCAGGGGAGCAGGTTTCTGTCATCCTCAACTGGAAAGCAAATGAGGTTTTAATGAGGAGAGCAAGGTGAGAAGGTCTGAAACTCAGGAGCCTTTAACACCCACTGGGAATGCGGACAGGGGAGTGGGAAGTGTGGCTCAGCCCTGGCACTGTCAGTGCCCATGGGCTCCTGGGGAGAGCTCCTGCCCTTCTTGCTTCCTCTGCTCCATCTATTTCCATCCAGACCTAGGTCTTAGGTGATGTATAAACCTCTCTGTGATGTTTCCTCCTGTTGCTCTGCATCCCCACGCACCCTCCCAAAACCCTTCCCAGGTTTTCAAGTCATATCAAAGCTCTACATGAAGAGAAGCACCGTTCCCTTCCTGGTGCCTGTGTGTCCATAGAGGCTGTGCCTGGCCCAGGGTTGTCTCATCCATGCTGAGCATGGGGGCTGAGAATGGATGTGGGGGGAAGTGCTCATGGAAAAGGAATGGTTGAAAGTGGACCTTTGGCTGTTAAGCTGGGGGAAATGGTTGGTTAACTTGATCCTGGTTTCCTGGGGTCCTTCAAGTCCTGAAAATTGGGGATTCTGGATAATGGCAGCTGAGTCTGTGCACTAAATCCATGCACTTTTCCATACTCATGGCCACATGTGCTGTCAGTAGTGTAATGTTGTCCTTAATCTAAACTTCTTAATGGCAAAGTTATCCATTATTCTGTAGCTTTTGGCTGTTAATGGAGATATTCCTTACCCTGGGAATGAGACATGGACTTCGGGAGAAGGGCACAGGCGATACAGATGTCTGTGCTGACTGATCCTGCTCTCTCTGCCTTGTTTATCCCCCCCCCCAATAAGTAATTGAGTGGTTGCACTTTATTAGTGCCAATAACCTCCTAGTTTGAGCTATTAGATACAGTTTGGTATTTCTATTTCTTTCTTTACAGCACCCAGACTTGGTGCTGTCGGGATTAATCCTCGCGCTCACCTGATGCTGAGCTCTGATTGTGACAATGGAGTACACAATCTGACACTCATTCTGCACCTCGTGTAGCTAATTTATGTAACCCAATTTATAAACTGCATCAATTGGGGACGTCATTTGCCACATACCTTGTGCACTTCACTGCAGTGCTCCCAGCCTGCAGCTCCAGCACTCCTTATACCCACAGTCATTTACACTGAACGCTCTTGAATGAGTCTGCAATCTATGCCTGGACAGACAAAGAGCTGTGTTGGGGAAATGAACACTTGCTGGTGCTGGGGTTAAGTTACTGATCACCCCATCCTGCTCCCCATGGCATCTTGTGTGTGTCCTGGGTGATGCTGTGTCCAGGTGATGCTGTGTCCGGGTGATGCTGTGTCCGGGTGATGCTGTGTCCGGGTGATGCTGTGTCCGGGTGATGCTGTGTCCTGGGTGATGCTGTGTCCGGGTGATGCTGTGTCCAGGTGATGCTGTGTCCTGGGTGATGCTGTGTCTGGGTGATGCTGTGTCGGGAAGCTGTGTCCTGGGTGATGCTGTGTCTGGGTAATGCTGTGTCCTGGGTGATGCTGTGTCCGGGTGATGCTGTGTCCGGGTGATGCTGTGTCCGGCTGATGCTGTGTCCGGGTGATGCTGTGTCCTGGGTAATGCTGTGTCCTGGGTGATGCTGTGTCCGGGTGATGCTGTGTCCGGGTGATGCTGTGTCCGGGTGATGCTGTGTCCGGGTGATGCTGTGTCCTGGTACTGTGTCCGGGTGATGCTGTGTCCAGGTGATGCTGTGTCCGGGTGATGCTGTGTCGGGTGATGCTGTGTCCGGTGATGCTGTGTCCGGATGCTGTGTCCGGTGATGCTGTGTCCGGGTGATGCTGTGTCTGGGTATGCTGTGTCCGGGTGATGCTGTGTCCGGGTGATGCTGTGTCCGGGTGATGCTGTGTCCGGGTGATGCTGTGTCTGGGTAATGCTGTGTCCGGGTGATGCTGTGTCCGGGTGATGCTGTGTCCGGGTGATGCTGTGTCCGGGTGATGCTGTGTCCGGGTGATGCTGTGTCCGGGTGACCCAGCTGTGTCGGGTATGCTGTGTCGGGTGATGCTGTGTCCGGGTGATGCTGTGTCGGTGATGCTGTGTCCGGTGATGCTGTGTCCTGGGTATGCTGTGTCCGGATGCTGTGTCCAGGTGATGCTGTGTCCTGGGTGATGCTGTGTCTACCCGGGTGATGCTGTGTCCGGTGATGCTGTGTCCGGGGTGATGCTGTGTCCGGGTGATGCTGTGTCCGGGTGATGCTGTGTCCGGGTGATGCTGTGTCCAGGTGATGCTGTGTCCGGGTGATGCTGTGTCCGGGTGATGCTGTGTCCAGGTGATGCTGTGTCTGGGTGATGCTGTGTCTGGGTAATGCTGTGTCCGGGTAATGCTGTGTCCTGGGTGATGCTGTGCTGGCCGGGCCAGACCCAAGCAGAGATCACAGAATCATAGCCTCATAGAATGGTTTGGGTTGGAAAGGATCTTAAGATCATCCAGTTCCAACCGCTTTCCATGGGCAGGGACACCTTCCACTAGACCATGTCACCCAAGACTCTCTCCAACCTGGCCTTGAACACTGCCAGGGATGGAACATGGACCCAGGTCTTCACCTTGTGCCTTTCAGGAGCTTCCTACCTGGGAATGATGAATTCCATCATCCAGCTGATCCTGCCTGGAAAGCTAGTATGCTCTTTGCATCCTCATCCAGGAGCATGGGCCCTGCTTCTCCATCATCCATCCAAACACACAAGTGATGGAGGGTGGAATGCACATGGAAATGCTCATGTAAGCACTATCATTGCCTTTCCTTGCCTTATCCTGTGGCTTTTCACCTGCTGTCACTGCCCATCTCCCCTGCTTTCCCCAGGATGGGACAGAGGTGACAAAGACCATTAATCTGCCATCCCTTGCTCCAAGCCCCATCTTAGCCCTAGGTTGTTGCCCTGTGATTGATGCCTCTGAGCTCTGCAGGTACCAAACCTGCAAACGTGACATTTGGGAGCTTGGGAATGGGGATCATCATCTCATGGCCCTGATGGCCACGAGCCGCATCCCAAAGCTGTCCTTTCCTGATGTCCCTGCCAGGAGGGCTTGTCCCTTCCTCAATCCCTTGGCATCCCAGACCACTGCGCTTCCCAGCTCTCCCTTTGCTCCCCTGTGTGCCTGCCCATGAGGACCAACACAGGAGTTATTGTCCACGCACGATCCCAACACACACATGAGCCGGACCCAAGCATCCCAAACCCATGTGGGCAAAGCCCGGCCCCTTCCCGCAATCATCTCTTGCCAGGCAAAGCAAGCAGGAGTCTGCTCTCCTCTCCCTCCCTTCCCCCTTCCTCATTGTGCTTGGCAAAAGAAGGTTAATTAAGCTCAGAAAATATCCCTTTTCTCCCCCTCCGAAGCATGAGACTGTTAATTTTCTCTTTATATTTGTATTTAATTAATTCCCGCAAAGGCTCCCGCTATATTTTTTGGGTCTAATTTCTCCCTTTGTCTCTCTCTCATTGTTAATCCTCGCATATTCAGTTTTTCCCCTCCCTTTTTCCCTAGATTGGAATTTCTATTACCATTTCAGAGGCAGGCGTTTGAAGAGAAAATTGAATACCCGTCCGGTCTTGATAAGAAGGGACATTTGGTACCAGCAGTGATTTGTGCGGCAGGTTCCCCCTCACCCCATGGTCAGGGTGTGGGTCCCCCTTTGCTCTCCACGCTCATGGTGCAGGATGTGCCTGTGACAGGGGTACCTGGGGACATGGCATAGCATTGCAATGGCTTCTGCAGCCCTGGCGTGGGGTGACAGTGCTCTGCCTGATGCCTCCCATGTGCCTTCACACCGCAGGAGCCCCCCCTGCATCCCACTTTGTGATGCCCAGCTGTGCTGCCCCATGTTTTGGGGGGAGGCTGGGCTGTGCTAGGTGGGGACCTCCTGTTTTCATGGATAACCCCTCTCCCCATCCCCACCAGCATGAGGCTCCCTGTGCAGAACACGGGGGGATTCCTCCTGGCATGGCCCTCGCGATGTCTGGAGTTCCGTGGTCCATGTCTATGTGCGCGATGCATCAGCATCGCCGGGGCTGGGTTTGGGACACGGGGTCCCGTAGCTCCCCCTCTCAGGACACGGCCACGGGCGCAGCATCCCCTTGTACACACCCCGGGACGATCCCCCCTGTACCAGACCCCCCGTCCGCTGGCATCCTTCTGGCAGGCGGCACAAGGTGGCACTGTCGGTCCGTGCTGCCGGTGCTGCCGGTGCTGCCGGTGCCGGGACCGGGCGATGCTGCGGGCTCCCTCGGTGGGGCTGCGCTTGCAGGGGGCCGCATCGCCGTGAGCATCCCGAGCGCTGAGCGCTGGTTGCGGGAGAGGTGAAGGCCCGGCTGTGCCCAGCCGCGGGGCTCGGGATGAGGCGTGACTGAACTCGCGTCACTTGTGAATCCCGGTAGGAACCCCAGAACCCTTCATTGAGGAAGGGTGGGAATTGGTCACTGCTGCTGGGTTGGCGGCCCTAGGTCCAGGAGAGCATCCCTTGTCCTGGAACAGGGTGAGGGCTGCAGCCCCCCGGGCAGGACAAGGACCATGGTCATGGTGTTGCTGTCCCATGTGAGCACCCAGCCTGGGCAGGATGGAGCCGCTGCCACCATGGGTGTTGCTGTGATCCTGAGTGGCCCCAGAGCAGGGTCTGGGTGCCACGGTCCTCCCTGGGTACCACACTCCTGCCTGGGTGCTGCACTGCACGGCTCAATCCTGTGAGTACTGGAGGATTGAACAGCATCCCCTTTGGTACTGCCATGGAGCTGATGGGACACGATGGGGACCCAGTGTGGGATGTGGGAGCTGAGCAAGCTCTTTAGGTGAGGGAATCAGCATCCCTGGGAGCACTCACACACCGCATACACGAGGCCCTCAGTGCCACGGGTCAGTGGTGGCCTTGGCAGTGCTTGGGAACGATTGGACTGGATGATCTCAAAGCTCTTTCCCAACCTGGTTGATGCTGTGGTTGTGCGATAGCAGCCTGGGCAGGGGGGGCGATACCCCTGGGGAGCAGCGCTCTGTTCTCCCCACCTCCATCACGGCCTTGTAAATCCTGACGGCTTGGACAGAGCTGAAGTGAAACATTCCCTGTTTCCTTGCCCAAATCTGTAGTTTCCTTCTGGCTCCGCGGCTCTGGGCCATATTGCACATTTGAATTTAAAAGCAGATTTGTGCTCGGGCTTGTCACTTATTTATTTATTTATTCATTCCAGGGTTATTATTTCCTTTCAAATCAAGGCCCTGCTTTGGCTCAGCCCAATGCATCCTATGGGAGCGCTGGCTGGTGGACCTGGATGCGAGGTGCTGCGGGCAGGAGGCTGAGGTTGGTCCCTTGCTCCTGGGGGGGTGTCCATGGGGATGCCTGGAGCTGGGGAGAGAGGGCCTGGGAGCCCAGTGCTGGCTCCCAGCCCTGCAGAGGGAGGCGCAGAGCTCAGGCGATGGCTGGGGGTGCTGATGGGGACCCCACTCCCCTCCCTCCCTCCCTCCCGGAGGCTTTGCCATCTGCTGTGTGAGCAGTGGCATTTGCTCGCTCCAGGGATGTCAGGCTGGGGATGATGCGTCCCTGCTCTGCTCCTGCCCGCTGAGCCTCGTGTCCCCGGTGTCCCCATGGGCTGAGGTGCAGCAGTGCAGGTCTGGGCTCTGGAGGTGGCCTTGTGGCTTGGAACGTCTTGGTTTTATCACTGAATCCCAGCTTGGGTTGGTTGGAAGGGAGCTTAAAGCTCCTCCAGCTCCAACCCCTGCCGTGGGCAGGGACCCCTTCCACTGGAGCAGGGTGCTCCAAGCCCCGTCTCGTGGCATGGGATGCCCAAGTCCTTGTGGCTGCCCCATCATAGGGGATCCTGGGCACCCGCTGAGAGCTGAGCTCAGCAGGCAGGGGCCAGCCTCAGCCTTGCTTTAGGGATGGGAAGAGCATCTCTAGAGCAGGAGAGATGGGAAGAAAGGATGGAGAGAGGCAGGAGAGGGGACAGAGGTGGGATGGGAAGCACGGAGAGGAGGACACTGGGGAAGGAGGGGTACACATGGAGGATTGGACCCAGCTGCAGGAGCAGCCCCTGTGCCCCTCTCCCCATCAAGCTGCTAACAAGGATAAATTACATGTGCTGGACTCCTGCATGGGGCTGCCCATTGCAGCCGCCTGTCCTCCATCCCCATTCCCTGGGTAATTGATGGCCACATCAGCCAGGCTCCTGCTCTAGGTGGGTGCTTCACCACCGGGCATCTGTGCCTGGGTCCAGACACTAAATAACCCCCTTGGCTCCTCCCCATCCCACCCAGGCCACCCCAGTGAGCACAGGTGGGAGGCAGCAGTGGGGGTCCTCCAACCCCAGAAACCACCGGTCCA